AAAAATTATCCTAAACATTCCTTAATTAAAAGTAGCAAGTATACTACTTGTCCAAGCTAGTGGGGGTAGGGGTGAATTAAGAATAGACTGCATCCTTTTGAAAGTAATGGATGATATCCGTGTCTAGATCCATGTTTGAGATAGACCCTGCCCTTCCTAGAAGGAAGGACGTATGAACACCTTGTAGAGTTTCTATTGATATCACTGGTCATGATGCAAAATATTATGCAAAGGGGAATACAAAATGAAAAACAAACGGGGGTACCTGGAAAAATACATATCTTACTTTGCCAAGGTAAAAATATGACTGCCATTCCCAGTATTGTAAACATAGCCTTGAATGTGGACCACAAAGATCAAACAAAATATTAACATACTTATTCTAAGCATGCTTACAAAGTTCATGCTAAGAATAAATAAGACTGGGGCCCCAGAGTTAAGGTTAAAATATAATTAAGATTAAGTTATAATAGTATTAAGATCATTTGGGAGTTGTATTATTTCCCAGTTTCAAGTTAGTTTACCATGAGACTAGAAGTAGTCATTATGTCTGGACTAAGTAAGTCAAGTTTTGAAAACAGCAACTACAAGGGCTGGGCGCTGGCTAATACGATCCATGATACAGTAAAAGGTGACTGGGTAAAGCCAGGATGAGCTTAGGTTGTATGAGGCCTAGTGAAGTTGGCCTGGTCCTCGCAGACAGCTGACTCTGTACTACATCAGATGGCCAGATCTCTAGAATGGCAACCTAGATGGTGTCCTGAAGCAGCATTAGGTAAGTATTTGGCTGTTGAGAACTCCTTCTTCAATAGTCTGTGGGCATGCTACAATTAGGTCTATGCAAGGCTCTCATCCAAATTACTCAGCAGCAAAGTTACCAAAACAGTGGAACTTTCCAAACATTTATTCCTGCATGGGTGAGTAAGCTCTAAATTCATACATGAATTCCTTTATGACATTTCCTCCTCACACCTTCTTCATACAAATGCTCCCTTAGTGAGGGATGTGCAACAATATTCAGCCCAGCCAGGGACTGCAAGTCACTCCCTAAATCCACTGGGGAAACACAGAAGGGCTTCCAGAGGGGAAGTCACATCACAGGATAGAGCAGAATGTAAGTGGCCAGCCCGTTCTTTTATAAATTTGGAGGGATGAAGTGGGAATTAAAGGATTGTGTCCCTGCAAAAGCCCATTTTTTTACCTGAAAATCTTGCTGCTCAATTCCACCAGCATGATTTCTGCATGTTTCCCAGGGTTTGGGCAGGGAGAGGGGGTTGAAAGAGTGATAATGGGTATATTTGGCCTCACAGAAACCATGTGCCCGTTTCCAGTTTTATTTTGGCATTTTCACACCAAACCTGATGCCACTAAAGGTTTTCTAACAAATTCCAGAAACATAGGGGCCCAAATAGCATGCTTAGAGGCAGTCCATATGGCTGCTGACTCCTGTCATATGTTGTGGATTTTTCCAAAGACTCAGAGATACATTAAGTTAAACCTCTGGCTCTGGAGTTTTCTCTCTCACTTCAAGAGAGCCCTCCCATATGGCATGAAAAGCTGTTACTGTATTCAGAATGCTCTTGCAACTCTCAGCAATTGTGTAAGGTACATAATGACCTGGTTTGTAGTCTGGAGTTATCAAAGACCATAACAAAGATAATTGAAATGGATTGGATTCAAGTGTCAAGGCATGAATTGTAGGATGGTGAAGCTAAAAAGAAATCTACATTAGTACAATCTTTTCTCTGTTTTTCTATTTGCTCACTTTCTTATTTTCTCCCAATTATTTCTGCTCTTTCAACATTTCATATCATGCTAATGACATGTCTCATTGCCTGCTTGACTTGCCAGTCGTTGCTTGCTGGGAGAGAGGTGACTTGAAAAGAAATGTTACACTTTCTCCATATTTCTTTATGGAGGGCAGGGGCTATGTAGTTGATAGGAATAAGGACAAATGCTGCTGAGGATAAAATTGCCAACTCTTCTGTTTTTATGAATCCTTAGAAAAACAGGTGGCAACTTCTAAGAAGTCACTGGCTGCACTTTAAAAGCGTGTGTGGATCCAAACAAAGGGAAAAAAGGATCTGAATTAACACTCATTTTGGGGGAAACCCTGGAGATGTTTATTCTTTGCCTCTGGTCCTGCATTTTTCAAAGAATCCCTGGCTCAGCCAGCAGGTCACAACAAAAAAGCTGCAAATCAGCATGTGCAATATGCCAGGGGGCAGTGGGCAGGCAGGCCGGCCAAAGGTCACTTTAAAGACTTGGCACAGTGTCATCCAGGCAGTTGAATAGCAAAATGCACTAAAACAGCAGAAAGACGTCTTTCGGCACAAATGTTGTTGATACAAACTATGACCTACTAATGATGTTTCCTGGCACCCATAGAAATAGTAATAACTGGAAAAATGTATAGAGGGAAGTATATAATCTGGTTAATTTGTAAATAATGTTTGTCCATCGTTTGCATCTATTAGTTAAATGTTGACACACTCCTTATAAACTGGCTCAATCCAAGGAAAATTGCACTCAGAAACTGATGTTCATGCTCAGGAACTTGTCTGGCTATATAATTAACTACAAAACCCAACATTTGGTTTCCAATCAACAGCTATGCCAAAGTTTTGAATCAATTTTGAATTGTTTTGTCCTTCCAAGTCTGTCATACTCTGTGTACAGTATGCATCAGTTTTGTATCAGTTTTGTTCTGTTTTCTTCCACTAACTTAGGGTTCAATCACACCGACACAAATTCTTTGCGTGAACTTACAAATAATTTGGTACCGAGTAAATGGAAATGATTTCTTGTTATTTAATTTTTGGCAATTCATTGTGCAGTGGTAAGGAACCTCAGCGAAGTTTCCTATCTCCTGTGTAAATCTGTTTTATTTGTGATGTAAAAGAAAACAAGTGAAAGATTTGGAGACTTTCTACAGTGCTCTTCCCAAGGAGACATTAATGTACAAAAATGCTTTTTTGGGTAAAAGTTTGCAATTAATTTATTAAGCCAGTAAAAGCTTATTTTCCATAAAATGTTTTATGAATACATTTTCTGTTTTTGTTGTCATTTTTGCTAATCATGTCAATAATTGGGTACCAGTTTGCTTCTGGGTCCAATTCAAGGTGTTGGTTATCACCTTCAAAGCCCT